CACCCTGCCCCCAGGGTGCCAGAGACCCGTCCCCTGCCCTGTTGATGTTGTTGTTTTTGTTGAGTTCTCATTTATGAAGAATAATTGCTGTTGATCCCCTCCACGGGTGCATATTGTTTTTTCAATCAATGTGTGCCCCTCGACGCTCGCACCCTGTTTTTTGACGGGGAAAGTCTTGATGCTCAAACTGGGCCCCTGGCCCCGGGGTTGCAACAACAACGGCTCCCGCATGAGACTTCCTTACAATTTAGCCAGGACCCCCGCTCCCGCCCTCGTTTGGGACTTCCTTACAATTCATTTAGGAATCGCTCTCCCGGCGCTCTGGAGTCGCGCTCTCGTTGGAGACTTCCTTGCAACTTACCGAATAATGGCCTTGCGTAGGAATTTCTTGCAATTTGCCCAAGCGCCTCGCTCCCGACGCCCAGACACCCAGGAGTCGCGCCCGTTGTGGCCCCATGTGCATGTCCTTCGTGGCCCCGCTGGCGCCATCTGTGTCCCCCTCACTGTCCTACGTGGCCCAGTTGCTACCCTCAGTGGCCCCATAGCTGCCTTGTGTGGTCCCGCATTATCTGCACTTCGTGGCCCCCGCTCGTTCGAGCTCTTCGTGGCCCCATACGCATTCCCTTCGTGTCCCCGCTGTCGCCCTTCGTGGCCTACTTCGTGCCCTTCGTGGCCTTGCTGTCGTTCTCTCTCGCTCTCGCTTTCGCTCGTCGTCGCCGTCGTCGTCGTCGTCGTCGTCGCCGTCGTCTTCGACGTCGTCGTCGTCGTCGTCGTCGTCGTCGTCGTCGTGGTCGGTCCCCTGTCCGTCCCTCTTGGGGTCGGGTCGACGGTCCGCGGCCGCCCCGCCGATCAGCGCTGCCGCTGGCCAGGCCGACGGTCCGCGGCCGCCCCGCCGCTTGCCGGGGCCCGGCCTGCAGGGAAGAAAGGTATACCCCCCAAAAGGGGTTCGATCGAAGACGAAGAGGGCGGGTATCGAGGGCTTGGGAAATACGCGTTATTGGACACTCGAGCATATAAGGGCGAACAGTCTTAAACTTATTGTTGTTGTTGTGGTTGTTGTTGTTGTCGTCGTTTTCGTCGTCGTCGTTGTTGTTTTTATTGTAACTGTTGTTGTTGTTGCTGTTGTTCTAGTTAGTGTTGTTGCTGTTGCTGTTGTTGCTGTTGTTGTTGTTGCTGCTGTTATTGCTGTTGAGCTCTCCTTTCTGATGGATATTTTTTGCTGTTCCCCCCTCACCGGTGCATGCTGTTTCTTCGCTCAATGAAAGTGTGCCCCTCGACGCTCGCCCCGTTGCCTTGACAGGGGAAGTCTTGGTGGTCAAACTGTGCGCGTGGCCCCCCGGATTACAAGAACAACGGCTCCCGCCTGAGACTTCCTCCACATTTACTCAGGACCCCCGCTCCTGAGACTTCCTCACAATTTACTCAGGGGCGGTGCTCCCGCCTGTGTCTTCCTCGCAAGTGAGTTAGGACCCCTGCTCCTATCTGAGACTTCCTCACAATTTACTCAGAAACGGCGCTTCCGCTTGAGACTTCCTCGCAATTGAATCCAAATTTCCTTGCAACTTAACAAGACCCCTGCTCCCGCCAGAGAGCCCTTAACATATTGTTCAGGAATCGCGCTCTCGCTTCTGACGTCTGTGTTATTTATTCAGAAATCGTGCTTTCGACGCTCAGGAAACACGTTGCGCCAAGGACGCCGTTACAATTTACTTAGTCATTGCGCTCTCGCCATACTCGGGCCTCCCACTTGGATGTCCCACCCGCCCGACCCGCCCGTCAGGGGATCGCCCGCCCGTCGTGGGCTCCCGCCCGAGACTTCCTTCAGGAACGGCGCTTTCGCCTTGGACTTCCTCGAACGTTCACGCTCTTACCTTCCTGCTCTTCCTCCCTCTCCCTCATCCCTCCCTCCTCTCCTCCCTTCTCTCTCCCTCCTCTCCTCTCTCATCCTTATGCCTCTCTGCCATATCCCCTCTCCCTCCTCTCCCTCCTCCCTTCTCCCTCCCCTCTCCTGCCTCCTCCTTTTTTTTTTTTTTTTTTTTTTTTTTTTTTTTTTGTCTCTCTCTCTCTCTCTATCTCGCTCTCTCTCTCCCCCCTCTTTCTCTCTCTTTCTCTACCTCTCTTATCTGTCTTTCTCTGTCTCTCTCTCTCTCTCCCTCTCTCCCTCTCTCTCTGCCTATAATCAACCGCCCCCCTCTTCGCTCCTTCTCTCCTTGCGTTTTCCCTCTTCCTTCGTCCCTCCCCCTTCCTTCCTCCCACTCTCCCTCGTTTTCCCCCTCATCTTTTTGCAGGGACCGCACCAATTCCAATGGCGGGCACATGTACGCCCACGAAGGAATGTCCGCCCGTTCAGGTGTGCCCGCCTGTCTAAGCCCGCCGCCCCCCGCAAAGAGAAACAATCCCCCCAAAGGGGGTGTGATCGAAGGCACAAACGGCGGGTATCGAGGGTGTGGGAAACTCGTTGAATGACACGCGGGCAAATAAGAGCGAACAGTCTTATGATGATTGTTGTTGTTGTTGTTGTTGTTGTTGTTGTTGTTGTTGTTGTTGTTGTTGTTGTTGTTGTTGTTTTTGTTTGTGTTGTTTTCGATATTTCCTCACAGTGTATACCCAAAACGCGCTTTCGCGCGGGACACCGTCACATTCACAGGAATCGTGCTCTTGCGTGGGACTCTCCTCGCAGTTTATTCATGGACTGCGCCCGTGGCACTCAGGAATCACGCTCCCGCTGTGGATTTCTCACGAGTCGGGAATCGTGCTATCTCTCGAGACTTCTTCGCGATTCGTGCAGGACGCACGCTTCAGCAGCCTGCCTGCTCGACCTGGCCGCCTGGGCCCGCCCGCCGCCAGGGGCTACCCGCCGTATCTGCCTGTCTGGTTCTTCCACGTGTTTTCTGCTCCTGGTCCCCCTCCTGCTGCTCTCTCTCGTGCTCCATCCTCGTCCCTCCTCCCTGCCCCTTCTTTCCATCCGTTCTCTCTTCCCTGCCTTCGGGGCTGCACGACGTACACGTTGCCGGTAAAAAAGGTATGCCCTTAAAGGGGGTACGGTCGAAGACGAAGAGGGCGGGTTTCGCGGGTTCTGGATGCACGTGTTGGCACGCGAGCAGATCAGAGCGTACAGTCTTTGATTTTTGTTTGTTGTTGTTGCTGTTGTTGTTTTGCTGTTGTTGCGGATGGTGATTACGATGCCTTCGATGGTGTTGCTGACGAGGATGATTATGATTATGCTGATGGTGATGATGCTGATGACGATGATGATGACGATGATGATGAGGATGGTGCTGGTGCTGATTATGATGGAGTAGTGGTGATGACCATGACGCCGACGATGCTAATGTTGATGATGACAAAGATCATGATGATGTTGATGATGATGCTGATGCTGATTACGATGATGATGCTCATGCCGATGCTGATGCTGCTGATGATGATGGATGATGATGCTGATGCTAATGATGATGCTGATGATGAGGATGCGTTGATGGTGATGACGACGACGATGATGATACTGATGGTGTTAATGGTGCTGCTGCTGATTAGTGAAGATGAGTTGTTGAAGATGGCGACGACGATGATGCTGATGATGTTGACGTTGATGTTGATGGTGGTGATGATGAGGATGGTGATGATGCTGCTGCTGCTGATGAGGATGATGATTGCCTAGCTGTGGTGTTGAAGCTGATGGTGATAATTCGCCAGCCCAACGGGCCAGAGGCGTGCTAAGATCTCCGGTAACTTGTTAACAATATTTCTAGTTCGCGCGCGCGGAGCGGCCCCTGGGGGCCCCCGGACGAAAAGTACCCCGGCAAGGTCCCGAGAGAAGCCCGGGAGAAGCCACCAGACCACTCCAGGGGAGGGTATTTTTCGACACCCCTCACGAGGATCGTGGCCTCCGAGGGGGGAGCCGCAATCGACTACCCCCAAGAGCCCCCCAAAAGGCCCTGGGGGCCTCCAAAACGCCGCCAAGGAGCCCCAAGAGATTCCCAAGAGGTCCCCAAGAGGCCCCCAAGAGGCCCTAAAGAGGGCTCCAGGGCCGGCGGCATGAGCGAAGCGATTAAATAATGATGATCGTGATACTGATAATAATGATGAACGGATGGTCCTGATGATGACGATGGCGATGACGGCGACGACGACGACGATGACCACGATGATGTGGTGGGGGCGTTGGTGAGGATGATGATGCTGATGTTGTTGTTGATGCTGATGATGAGGATGGTGCCGCTGGTGGTGGTTGTGGTGATGGTGGTGGTGGTGATGATGATGCTGATTATGATGCTAATGATGATGATGATGATTCTGATGATGATGATGATGATGATGATGATGATGACGACGACGATGATGATGAAGATGATGATGACGATGATGATGATGATGTTGATGATGATGATGATGATGATGATGTTCTGCTGCGGATGATGATGATGATGATGATGATGATGATGATGATGATGATGATGATGATGATGATGATGATGATGATGATGCTGATGCTGATGCAGATGCAGATGCTGATGCTGCTGCTGATGATGATGATGATGATGATGATGATGATGCTGATGATGATGATGATGATGATGATGATGATGATGATGATGATGGTGGTGGTGGTGGTGGTGGTGGTGGTGGTGGTGATGATGATGATGATGATGATGATGATGATGATGATGATGATGATGATGATGCTGATGCTGATGATGGGGAGGAGGAGGGGGAGGTGGAGGAGGAGGAGGAGGAGGAGGAGGAGGAGGAGGAGGATGAGGGGGAGGAATGAGGAGGAGGAGGAGGAGGAGAAGGAGGAGGAGGAGGAGGAGGAGGAGGAGGACGGAGGAGGAGGAGGAAGAGGCGGAGGAGGAAGCTTGGTGGAGATGTTCAGATCCCCAGTCGCCCCAGGGCGAGGGCCGCTTCGCTGGCCGCGGTGCGGACGCATCCCGCGCGCCGGCGGGGCGGCCGGAACGCCAGCCTTGTCGGCCCGCCCGCTCGCGTCCGCGCGGCTCCGCAGTCGTTTGCATTTTTGGTCCTCGCGCCGCGCCGCCCCGACCTCGACGCTGTCTGCCCAGTCCCCATCGCGTCGTGCAGGACTCGCGGCGGAAGATTTGTTGCGGAGGCGAGCCCAGGGAGCAGGCCCTCTCAGAGGGCGGCGGGGCCTTTTCAGAAGCCCCCAGGACTCTTGAGAAACCGTTCCTGGTCTCGGTGCAGGCTAGGGCAATTTCTCAGAAGGCGCGAGGGCTTATGAGAAGCCCCGCCGCCTTTTGGGAAGGCCCGCCCCCGCTCGCTTCAACCCCTGCTTTCGCCGCCGATTTTTGGCTGTTTTCGGGGGGCCCTCGCGAGGCCCGGAGCCGTTTTAGCCGTTTTAGAAAATTAGCTTGGCGACTGACCCAACCATATGCAGTTGAGTGCCGCAATTGTTAGTATCGTCGTCGGCGGCGTTCCTTCGGGGGCGCGAACCGTGTGAAGGGGCGTGCCGAACTGTGTGGCGGGGTACACACCACGAGCGACGACGATAGGACAGAGTACGATAAACTGACGGCGGGTGAGTTTGAGCGCGAGCGACTGATTGTGAATGACTCTGCGTGCGAGTGAGTTTATGTGCATGAATGTCGACGCGCATGTCGGCACGCCCCTCACCAGGATCGCGCCCGCTTCCTTACTTTCTTTCCCCCCCCTCCTTGCCTGTGCATGCCAATGTCCAAGGCGACGGGCGCTGCGCAGCGCGGACTCCTCGCGACGCTCGCCGGTCGCCGCAAAGGGGTCGCTCGACGTCTTGACGCTTCGGACGGACGTGTGCCGACGCTCGAGAACCGAGTCTCCATGGTCGAGGTGCAGTTGCCTGAGATGCAGGCTGCGCTCGCTGAGTTGCGCGTCGTGCGGGTCTGGACTGGTCAGCTGGGTACCCCGACTGCGGTTTGCGATTTCGCCGCCCTCTCAACCCGATTGGCCGAAGCGCGGATGGCGGCGGGCCACGCCCAGTTACGACTCACCCAGATCTCCCACGAAAGCGACGCTGAAAAGGCACGGGCGGAGGAAGTATTTGTCCGCTTGGAACGAGATCGCGATGCGTGCAACCGACGAATTGAGGACGCAGATCATCGGCTGGACCAGTGCTCCCAGCGAGCTTATGACACCAACGACGAGGTACGTGGTTTACGACGGAGTGTAGAGCAGATGCAAACCGACATCACCACGACTGAAGCCACCATGAAGGCCCATGTGAGTGACGCGCAGATCCACATCTCGACCCCGCCTCCACCGCCTACCGCCGATTGTGCCCCAGCCCTTGCCGATGGAAACATCCGCGTTGGGCAACCGCGACGTCAGTCACCGCGGGCCGCCTCTGCAGCGGCCTCGGCTCAGACGCGTCGTGTCTCTCTCTCCTGCGCGTGAACCATCGCGAGCGCCACCGATCCCGTCGCAGAGCCTCTCGCAGTTCTCCTGCGGTGGTGCCGCCCCAGTCAAGGAATCAGACACTGTGCGTATTCCTCAACTGCCACGCGTTACTCAGTTGTAGGAGTGGTGACGTCTGGTCAGGGGAAACTTTGGCAGCGCCTCTGGGCGCCCTGCCAAGGCATTCGCATTCCTTTGTGTTGCCGAACAAGCTGACACTACGTTTGAGGTCCTACAAAGCAGTGGCGATTTCGAGAGCATCGATTGCAAACTTGCTGCCGTACTCTCTGCAGTTTTCAACGCTGAGCTCCGTTGCGGACTGAAGAACCTCAAAGGTCAGTGGTTACGGCCGGCCGCGTGCTGACATGTAGACTTGTTTATTCGACTATATTGCAATCGTACAAGGTCACTGACGTCGACGCACGATGCGCGACTTTGAACGCTTGCTATTTATTCGCATGCGGGGCGACGATCTCCAACGGTTTATTATGGACTAGGGCATTTTACTCTTGGAATGCCGCGAACCACCGGATGATCTGCGGACATCCATGTGTGATTCAGGACATGCATGACTACACTACTATGAAATCTAATGACCCCAATCGCACGTGCGACTGGCTCCGAGAACGCATTCTGGCCAACGTGGAGTTGCGTCGACTCGAACGCAACCGGCGCAACCCCAAGAACGAAACGGATCGTTACGAGCCGGCCGTCTGTGCTGCGTTCAAGTCAGGGCGCTGCAAGAACGGGGGGCGGTGCATGTTGCTACGCGCAGGATGTGGCAACCGCTCCGCACCACGACGTCCGCGATGAGCATCGACTGCCGGCAGAGACGCCCGGGACAGACGACCTTGTGCCGGACGAGGCTCCAAGCCATTGCCCAAGGACAAAGGCGAACCGAATTTCTGTTTCACCATCGCGAAACGCTGTTCCTGCCCCCGACGCGATCGATGGAAATGTCCGCGCAGTGCCACGTGCCGCTTTCATGTAGACCCAAACTTACATAGCAAACATGGCAGCAGCTGCCGAGTCGCCCGCGTCGATCCTGACCCCCGACCAAAGTCCCAGCAGGACGCGCAGCCAATATAGCCGTGACATGGCGCCCTCCCCAGGACGCGGGGGGGGGGAACAGGCGCCCCCCATGCAAGGGGCGGCAGCGCTCGCGCAGTCCAGGGGGCGCGCGCTGGCCGCGACGCGGAACGCCGCCCCCGGGGCGCGGGGCGCGGCGGGGCTCGCGCAGTCTGGGGGGGGCGCAGATGGTCGCCGCGATCCCCGCGACGCTCGCGATCATCATCGCGGGGCCGCAGCCGCGACCATCGTCGAGGGCGTTCCCCCACCGGGGGCGAACTGGGATCACCGTCGATCCGCGATCGGAACCGCCTTTGCGCAGCAACGCGGCACAGTCGACGCGGGGATCGAACGTGCGTGACCCGCGACAGGATGCTTCTCTTCACAAAGTAACAATGACGTTATCTACGTTTCGAAGTCATCATCACCTAAACGCCTCGCCACCGACTCTACATGTCCAAAGCATCATGTGCGGTGACCCCTTTGATGTGCCTGATTCGTTGCCTGATTGGTGGTTGGGCGCCGGCGCCCAGGCGCTGCGCGACTGTTGGAATTTGATTCAACGGTGGCATGATGACTCCATGCTGCCTCCCAGACTTCCTGCGGTGCCCGCCGTGCCATCGCTGCGCGACGCTGCGTCGGTGGCAACGCCCGCCGCTGAGTCTACATCCATGACGCGGTCCACTGCGTCGTTGCGGACGTGGATTTTGGACAGTGTTTCTGCCCGCCTCATCCAAGACGAGGCCGATCTTGCGCCGCAAGAAACCACCGACGTGCTCCAAGGGCGCGAACATATACTCGAAACAGCCAACGGCGACAGGATCGTCAACAAACACATTCACTTGAAGTTACCGCACATAGGACTATCCAGTTCAGCCCTTGCGCTGGATGATTGCCCATTGGTGCTACCTGTGGGGCAGCGGGTGCAATGCGACGGCTTCCGACATATCTGGGATCCACAAGTGGGCTACTTACTGCAGGACCCACGCAGTCAAGGGTGCAATGTTATTGTCATTCACCAAATCCCGTAACACGACTTTAATGATCTGGAGCGGATTTCGCCGCCTCAGTTGTGTCCCGCGCCAACTAAATCGCGGCGTTCACGATGCGCGCTGCGGCGCGGACCTGACGTTTCTTATTCTTGCGTGTGAATGTTGCGTGGGTGATGCCATCGCGCCGGTGGTCGCACCTGCGTCTGCGCCCCAAGTGTGGGGCGTGGCGCGTATTGCGCCTGTGCCGGTGGGCGCGCCCGCGCCCGCGCCAGCTGTGAGCGACCTGGCGCCTGGTGAGTTAGCCCCGCGCTTGTGCCGCCAACTCGTGGCGCGACGCTGCCTGGCCGACCGCGGCCGCCCATCGATCCCTCGCGCGACGTCGCCGAAAGCCCAGAGCGTCCTGACTGCGAGATATGTGGGCGAATCCTGGTGCACAGCGCCATGTCGACGCCGACGTCGAACCGCTCCGCCAACGCAGCCCACCGATGGAGCCGCTCAGTGCGAGGCGCTCGTGCCCGAGCGATTCGGTGGGGCCTTGGCTGCCGACCACTCTGTCCTCGCGCAGACGATGCCGCCCAGAAATGTGGTGATGGGCGTGCTTTGGTCGGGCTGGATGAGTTTGCAGGCGCCGTCGCAGCGTTTCCTGCGGAGCGCCGGGGCGCTGGGGCCGCCGGGGCATCTTCCTCGAGGTCTTTGCCGCGAGTGATGAGGTGAAACGCATCTACGCCGACAGCTCTGGCGAGCCATGGGAGGGGCGCTGTCTTTTGGGGTGGCGGCGCGACGCCGGCGCGCCGCGTCGGCCGCGAACCAGCGGAATCGCCGAACGTGCTGTCGAGTCAGTTTTACTTGCAGGGCACCCGTGCTGTGCTCCACAATATTGGTCTAGGTATAAATGGTGGAAAGCGGCTCTGCAGGCGTGGTGTTGTGGCCGCAACTTCACATGTTGACCGTGTCATGGCGTCGTAACCGCGCAGGAAGATTACCGGGGCTACACGTCGCGCGAAGTTCAATCTGGAGAATCTTTCGAGGAACATCTCGTTTCGATGCGGAAATGTCCCAGCCCCGACGTCGACGCATCAGCTGCGAAGTCTGATGAGGCGACGCGAGGAGTCTTGTTCATGGGATGCCATCTCCACTCTGGCGGTCGTTGGCATGGTGACTACCCTGTCATCGACGTGGCCACGTGCGCCAAACATTCAGAAGGGGAACTGACGGACCGCGCGACATCGTCGCCGTTTTTTGATGTTTTATGCGGCCGCCCGCAGTTGGAAGCCATTCCCGCGAGTGTTGCGTGCTCGCCTACTGTGATGGGCAGCAACGGAACAGCACCTTCGTGCACCTGATCATCGCGGGAACGCAGGAACAAGCTGGACTCAATTCACTGGGGGCGGCCTTGTCTCGTCACCCGAAACCGTGCTAAGAAGGAAGTTGCGGCTGAACCGCGAGCGCAATGCGCACTTCGCAAATGATATGAACGACTGGCAAAGAAGCGAACGTGGTGCTCGAAACCTTTATAGAGCGTGGCGGCGCCATCCGAAACGCGCAGAAGGATGCGAAGTCTGTTCGCTTGGCCAACATCCTAGAACTTTCCCTCGTGAAGCTCCCTGAATTACCCCCAGAACTTCAGTGGCGCAA